TAGGTTTCTCTAACAACCATAAATTTATTAAAAGGTTAATTTCTAGTAGCAAAAATATAAAAAGTATAAAAATATTCTTAAATTATTGCACTTCAGACAACAGAGAATTAGCCGAACTAATAAAAGCACAAAATAAAATTTCGAAACTGGGCTTTTTTGGTTACTATAATTTAATCTTTTCAGATTACTTCAAAGAAGCAATTTTGACGCATTCAAAATCTATAACTTTTTATGGAAACCATGGAGGGAGCAACTTAGACTCTATATTAATAAAAAATTTTCTAAATTTAAAACATCTAAAATTAAGTCATTTTAATCGTCGCTACCATTCAATTGAGGGAAAATTAAACTCATCTCTGTTTACAAAGATAGAATCTTTAAGCTTAGATTTATACTATGAATCATTTTTATCGAGTTTGTGAAAAGTCAAAGAAAATCAAGAAATTAGAAATTATGGGTATGGCAAACGATACAGAACACTTAAAAGAAATTCTTCGATTGATAAGCATTAATTGCCAAAATTTAGAATATTTAACTATTTTCTATCAAAATAAACTTGATCAAGAGTTGACTGAGATATTCAACAAGTGCAAGAAAATAAATTTTGTTAGATTAATTGCTTTTGATCATAACCCAAATTGTACATTTGATGGTGACAAAATAATAAAAATTTTAAATGAAGTGTTACCAAAAAAATTGAAACGCTTGGAATTTAATCAAGAAGTAACTATTTATAACAAAAAACTTCTCAATCTTTTAATCAGAAATTGGAAAGGATCTAAACTTTTTACAATAGTGTCAGTTAAAGTTAACTGGTTTGAATCAAAGGTTCAAGAAACGAACAGAAAACTATCAAAATCTATAAATTTTGAAGAAAATGACTTTACGCTTGAAATTATTGAAAATAATACAAATGTACTTTATTGCGAAGTAATTGAGCTTTTTGATTCTTTTATTTGATGTTAAACTATCAATATTTAGTTGTTAATTAAAGTTTATTATTTATTATCTTGTACTATTTTATTTCATTTCAGATAAGAAAAAACTAAAAAAGTCAAATGATTTTATTTTTTATCAATATTTCTTCACTACTATTATAACAAAATTACCTGTAGCATACAACGAAAAAGGAGTTGGAGGCACTTTTAATTGAAGAGTGGATAAATTCCAGAAAGGGTGTACATGGAATTAATCGAAAGCATGTCTCATAGAATTGAGGCACGTATTGCAAATAATGGGTGGCCTACGAAATATTAAATTTAAGTAAAATTTTATCTTTTTCAAAATTAATTTGTACAATTATATTTTTTAATAAAAAAAAAACATATATATATATATAATAAGTCGGAGAATGTGCAAATAGTTTATTATTATTGTATTAGTATATATATATTAATATTAATATATTTAGTTCGTAATTTGGCAATATTGTGCCATTTAACATTTATTTGGACAAAATTGATTAATTGAATAACAACAACAATAATAGGTTTTTATATATTAATCCAATAAATTTGCTTGCTATAACAATACAATAGTTGAAAGATTAACAATTAAAGTTAAAATCGAGAACGTAATAATCTTATATGCCACTCAAAGATTTAGTTTGTCAAATTATAGATCCTGTAATGGTATATATATATACTATTTGTAGGTCACCCTAAGAAAATAATATATAAATTTTACATATTTGATAGTGATCTAAAAAAATAATGGATGCTGAATTTCTCTAAATAAAAAACTTGGTTTGTTTCACCATGTTTTTATTATATACATATAATATTTCTGTCTTTGTTCTTATTTTTAGTACATATATTAATATTAATATTAATGCAACTATAGCGTAACTTTACAATACACGGCAAACATTCTGTCAATAAAAAGTAATGATAACCTGGATTTGAGGTATATATATACAATTATATTTATATAATATTAATATACTGGTGAGCAATGGTTCTACGTATATAACATTTCGTATTACAATAAAGACTAGTGCCGTAATCCAAAAAAGGAAAAAGTATGGTTGCAAAAGTGGTTGCAAAAGTAATTGCAACCACTTTTTATATGCCGTAAATACAATTACTACCATCATCATAATTTACGGCACTAGTCTTTATATTACAACATACTATGCTCATAAAAGGGTGAATTTTTACATTTTAAAAAAAAATAAAAAAAATAATCTCTCTTATATACGTATATATTCATATATATTAAAAAAAATATTTTCCCAAATTATGCAAGCCATGTTAGAACTTACTAATTGTATATTAGAATTCCTAGTTAATGACTTATCTGAAAAAATCAGAAATTAACTAAAGAAAATCAGAGATTAACTAAAGAAAATCAGAGATTAACTAAAGAAAATCAGAGATTGACTAAAGAATATCAGAGATTTGTTAAAGAAATCGGAAATTATTTAGATAATAATAATAATAATAATAATAATAATCAGGAATTATTTGAATATGAAGATTGGGATATTGAAGAAACTGAAAATCAACGTGAATTCATTACAGGAATTTATTGTGTCATGACAAAATTTATATTAATATCAATATTATTTTTACTCTTTTTTATTTTTAATATAAAAACTTTTCAAATCATCTTTTTAGTATATAATTATTTTGAATTGTATTGTTTTTATTATTATGTATTTTTGAATTGTATTAAAATTTACGTATTGTTTAAACTTTATATATATATATCTTTCTTTAAATCAATGTTGGGGAAACAAATGCCTGGTGCATCCAAAATGAAACATAATTTATTCTTCATTATTTTAATTATCATTTATTCCGTGATAATGGTATCTGGAGATAAAAAACTTAATAAGAATTTATGTAAAAACAAAAAATTAACAAACGGTCAACAAATCCATCAAGGATCTTGCTCAGAAACAATACAAGGAGAAATCCCATCTGTCAATAAAATGCCATCAACGTTAATAATAGAACCAATTAATGGTCAAATACTAAAATCACGACAATCATTTAGAGTTAAAACAAAAATTTCAAATTTAATAACCGGCTTCTTCACCAATCCAAACGAAAAATATTATACCGAACCTCAACAGTTGAAAAATGGCGTGATAAAAGGACATTCTCACGTTACCATACAAAAACTTGATGGTAATAATTTACCTAATGCAAAGGATTTTACATTCTTTAAAGGATTGGACCAACCAGATAAAAATGGAATTTTATTGGTTAAAGTAAAAGGTTTATCGCCCGGTGATTATAGAATTTGTACTTTAGTCTCCTCATTCTCTCATCAACCTGTGATAATGCCAGTTGCAAAACGTGGTTCACAAGATGATTGTATCAGAATTAAAATTATAAGAAAAAAGAAATTCTAAAATTAAAATTATTAATCTATATATTAGTAATATATAGTAATAGTATATATATATATAATAGGGAAAAGCTCCATTTACGATAATAAAGTTAATACTAATTTAGTAATATAGTTGGCTCGGTCTAAAGACCTCCTAAATTTCAGGCAAATTTTAAAAGTATAGAAGTCATTTTCTGTCCTATCTTTTAAAAAAATAGCTCTATTAGTTGATAGAATATGTATTTAGTTTTAATGTAATAAAGAGATTTTCCCCAAAAAATTCTTTGTTGTAGAGTTCTATTCTTTTTTAAAACATGTACTTTACTATGCTCATGAGAAATTTGAGCACTAGGATCATTGCTAAATTTAGACTAGTTTTTGATCATCATTACTAATTTTAGCCTAATACACGACCATCATATCTAAATTTGGCAGTAAGGAAAATAATTTTTTAACCAAAATCACGTGAAGCCCTTTTTTAAAAAATTTTTATTGCATTTTTGAACGAATCACGAAATTGCAATTTTTGAAATTTGAGCGCGTGGCGCAGCAATAGGAGGTCTTTAGACCAAGCCAACCATAGTAACAATCACATTGTATTGGCATAAAATTGATATATTAATATATATATTGATCATTGTACAACAACGGCTATAACAAATCAATGTGCTGTGTGCTTTATATTTTATTTAATATTAATATTAACAATCAATGTGACAAAAATTTAATATGGTATTCTTTCACATTACTTTCTATGTATAACTAAGTCTACTTTTTTCCAGAAATTTTGGCATTTCTTGAAATACTATTCACCCATTTTTTCTCATTGACACAATAATAATATTAATATTAATAAAGAAGTCGCACCTATTACTGTGGAAATAGAAATAGATGCAGGAATGGATGGCGATAGTAATAGTAATAGTAATAGTAATAGTAATAATATTAATATTGATATTGATATGGAATTAGATGAATAAGATTTTTATTTTCACTTTTTTATGATTTCTATCATTATGATTTTTTTATGATTAAGATTTTTAAAATTTTATTTATTTTTATTTTTTACATTTTTTTTTTCAATAAAATAATGATTATATCAATCAATCCACCTTTCACCAGCTCTTTGGATAGATCAAGTAACAAACGATAATTGCATCTTGCCTGGATTATATTATTTTTAATTTCTTCGTAAATGATTAATATTAATATAATAATAATAATAATATACACATATTAAAAAGATGAAACACATTTAAAAGTTTTATATATTGAATTCATATTATCATAAAATAAAAAGAGTGGTAAAACTATTATTAATATTAATATAAATTTTATCGTGACATTATAAATTCTTGTAATGGATGCAGGTTGGTTTTTAGTTTCATTATTATTATAATAATTATAAATTTTTAATCCCTCAAATTCCTTATTATTATTATTATATTCTAAATAATTTACGAATATTACAGTTAAGTTCTGATAATCATCATTCAATTTCTGAATTTTTTTATTTAATTTCTGATTTTCTTTAATAGTAAATTCCAATATGGACATAATTTTGGGAAATAATAATAATATTTTTCTTTGATAGATATTTTATTTGCAAGAGTGATTATTTATTTTAATTTATTTTAAAATGTAAATTCTTCCTTTATATATAGATACACACCTATTACTATTATTAATAACAACAATAATAATATTATTCAATAAATTAATTTTGTCCCAAATAAATTTTAAATGGCAATTGCACAATATTGTCAAAATCACACGTGAGTTGTTATTATTATTGTTATTATTATTATATATATATTAATATAGATATGAACAAAAATGCTCTAAAAAGATATATATATATACACAACATTTGAAGAAATTTTTTGAACAAGAAGACTGATCTTATTAGCGTGTTACTTCAAAGAAGTGCCATTGATGCTCTCATAAGTGCATCTACTAATCGTTAAGAGAGCATAAAAAGAGATGAAGATAGAGGATTTATTATGTAAAAAAAAATAAAAAAATAATATACATTTATATGCCGTAATTTAAATTTTAAAAAATAAATGCAATATTAGTTTCCCTTTCTTTAATTCCTTTTTTAACAAAGGGGTATTACATCATTGATTCCCAATTTAATTAATCGTGCTATCTTTTTCATTATTTATTTATAACAAAAAATCATTGACAATTAATTAAACCGAACACCATTGTGTCATTGAATATTATATTAGTATTAGCGATTTAATAAAAATGTTTTATTTAATCGAAAAAACATCAAACCGTACTAATACTATTAGATCACACAAAAATATTTTAAACAATAAATTGGGAATCAATGGATAATAATAATATAATGATTAAATAAAATTGGGAAATAAAAGTATATTTTGGGAATCAATGTATTTTCTTATATTACTATTACTATATATGGATCTTGGGACAAATTAAAAAAATACAAATTTTGAATAAAAAATAACAAAACTATAACACTAAATGAACAGATAACAAATATCGTTATTGAATACATACGCTCTATTGCAAGAGTTGATGTCGTACACATACTGATGATTGATAATTGCTGAAGTTCGTTTTCTGATTGCTCTTTTTTAGCATTATAATTAGTAAATTGACGTTTGGAATTCTTCGAATTCTTCTTATTCAATTCTGTTTGTTCTTTATAATTAATTTCATCTATATCAATCCACAGTTCTGATGGTCCTTTATGATTATTTTCATCTTTATTAATTATCGATTCTGGTAGTTCTTTATAATTATTTACATCCATATTAATCCTCGGTTCTGATGGTCCTTTATGATTATTTTCATCTTTATTAATTATCGATTCTGGTAGTTCTTTATAATTATTTACATCCATATTAATCTTACACAATTTTATATATATAATAATAATACATTGATATATAATACATTGATATATAATACATTGATATATAATACATTGATATATAATACATTGATATATAATACATTGATATTAATAAAGCTGCAAACTTTTGAATTGTTTATTTTCATGCATTGTTTAAAACTTATATATATATATATATAACATTCATTTCGTTAATATTTTATAAAAAAAAATGTCTACTATTAATGAAATAATTGTGGAAATTAAGGAACTTATAAATCTCATTAATGAAAATGAGCGTCATTTACGTGATTGTGTGCAAAAGCTTAAAAGTTTATTATTAGTCAAAAATCTTGAAAATTTATCCAAAATTCTAGGTGAAAAATTTGAAAAAAAGCAAGATATTGGTGGAATACTCGACAAAATACTCGAAGAAACTTCTGGTGATAATGATTTTAGTAGCCTAGGAATCATTTTTTAATTATTATATTGGGCTCCCAAGATTTTATTATACGTGAATACATATACATAACATAATTAAATAAATTTAAATTTGTAACTTTGTATTTTAATTAAATTAATTTCGTCTGCTCCGGCACAAAAATATACTATATATTATACTACAAAAAAATTAACGAAAGTTTGGAAATTATGTATATTAATATTAAATATAAACTTCATACTTCAGATTTTGTCTACCATTACTATGCTTCAAAAATTTTGATGTTATTATTATAATCTAAGAAATCAAAAACAATATTTTACAAACCGCCATTTTTTTCATATGTTTTAAATTATCAATATTACTATTTATATTATCACTCTCGCTATCATTATTATTACTTTCGATATTACTATTTATATTATCGTTGTCACTATTACTATTTATATTATCACTTTCAATATTATTGGTTTCGCTAATATTATTATTATTACTACCACTAGCACTATTATTGTTAGTGTTATCTGATATTGAATTATTATTTTCAGATAACGGTGATTCAGACATTTTTATAATTTATATAAATTATTAAAGAAAAACCTATTTACAAAATTTGTTTTTCCTTTACATCAGGAAAATGCTTTTGAAATTATACATAGATCCTACATGTAAACAGCATATAAACACCATATCATGATTTGTATATGATTGACATATGTGTGGCTTTTTCATAACGTGATTAAAGGAAGGAAGCAATTGAAGAAGAAGAAGATAACCAATTTCAAGTTTCTGAAGGCAAAATAACTATGGATCAAAGCTATGGAATTGATTGAAAGGCTCCAATTTTTTCTAATGCAAGAAGAAAGAGGAATGGGTATTAGTGAGAGTTTCCTTCGTGAATTAAACAAATTTAAAAGAGAATTAAAGAAAGAAATTTTTATGTCAATGGCTCAAACAGAAATTGATACCTATTTTAGTTAAATGATTTTGTAAATTATGATAGGAGATTCTAAAATTTTAAATTTACTACCCCATTTATCCGATTATAAAAAACCCCGTTAATCCGAAGAAAAGTCCCTGCACAATTGCCTTTGGTTTAACGGGGTTGCATATGTAAAAAATAACTCACTAACTAGTGATAAATTTTTCTAAAGAAGAACTATTAGTTTGCATGTATTGTATCCAGTGTGGAATCCTAAAATAAATAAATAAAAATAGGGCATTGTTATTCGTACCCATTTTTGTTATTCACACCCCTCCCGTGATTAAGACAACCACATTTTAAAGCCATTCATTGGTCACATTACTACACTTAGTCACGGGAGGGGTGCGAATAACAATTCCCTAAAAATATTAACAAAATATTATATATTTATTTGCTTATTATTATATTAATTATTACTAAAACGTATGTATAAAATAAAAACTAGGGAATTAAATCTCATTTCAAAGATATGTATTATAAATATTAATAAGTTAACATTAGGCACTTGTGACTTTAAATAATAAATATTATTGCATTCAACACAGATATTTATGTGTTTATGAAAGTTATGTGGTTTAAAATAAACTTTTGCAACTTTAACAGTCATTCCGCATGTTTGACTTATACATTTGCTAATTTAATTATACATTTGCTAAGAATTTTAACTTGGTTGATAATACAAGTCTTTATTTTTAATACTAACTTTTTAATTTTTTTTACATACAATTAAAATTATAGTTCTCAGTGATATATTCTATATAATTTTATAAACAAATAATAAAAGATAAATTGTGTTTTACTTAAATATATCACGAGAATTTTTAATGGACAATTTTCATATTCAGTTTTGTACTATGTAGATTCTCTACCCTTAATCAAATCAAATTTTTAATTTCTGAGGACGCCCTATGTATAATAAATTTGAATTTCTTACATCTATAATTAACAGATGAATATATAATGAATTTGAATTTCTTACATCTATAATAAACAAAGCTAGTTGTTAATGAATAATGAACTTATATTTTAATAAATAGAGTTGTTAATGAATGAATATATATAATTTGAATTTTCTTACATCTTGAAATTAAACTAGAGATTGGACCCGGGTTGGGTCCAACCGGGTCATGAAAATTACCACCCGGTGGAGAAAAATGAATGTAACACAATGGGACGTCTGATTTATAATTCAATTTTTTTTACATTTCATATGTATTATCAACATTTTTAATACGGATTATCCAATATCTTATAAATAATGATTTTATCAACAATATTGTTAGAGTTGTCTTGTTACATATTAATATATACTAATGAATTATTTTTGTTTTTTGGATTTTGTGTAATGTCACAATGACATTTAACATACAGATTATCCAACCTCTTATAAATAATAATTTAGTCAACAGTATTGTCAGAGTTGCCTTGTTACATATTAATATATTAATGTTTTTGAAAAAGAACATTGGATGCGAATTTCCATATAATATATACCATAATTCATTTTTATAAATAATAATTCAAACAGTTTATATTGTAAAGTTTGGAATTAATAAAATTATTTTTTTATCATTTATGTAAATTAAATCCATATATAGAAAGATCTGTTCACTACGTCGGGTAAACCCGCGGGTCACCCGGGTGAAGTTTTTTTAGACGGGTCCAATCTCTAGTTTTTTGATTCAAATATACAACTTTGTGTGAATATTATTATTTATTAGCTGCTATAGTTAGAGAATATATATAAGGAGCAGATTAGACAAGAGACTATATACAATACAGTAAATAGAATCAATTAAGTTTAAATTTATTTATTTTAAATTAATACTTTTGAATTTTTATTTAAGGGATCTTTTGGATACTGACAAAGATGGAAATTCAATAGAAATGAATTTTGTAGAGGAATGTTTTTGATTGACAAAAGACTTAAGGAAATCCAGTTCCTGATAATTTACCAAAAGAATGACACAAAGTTTCAAAATTTGTAAATTATTTTTTCTTCCTTGTTTGAATAATTTTTAATTCGTTTGCACAGTATAAATTTTATATTATGATAAATATTATTAGAGTTTCTCATGAATATATTTTTAATAATAAATTTGATAATGAATAGATCATTGAATGTGTGTATATTCCTTGTCATTATATTTTTTTCTTTGATGTAAATCTAATTAATTACATGAAATCTGCATATGATTCCAGACCACCTTTCATTCTTTCCCTCCTTTCTCTTCTTTGGAATTCAATATTTTCATCCTGCCATTCTAATTTATCTTTTTCAGTTTCAACTCTTTGCTGTAAATCTTCATCTGTAAGTTTCAAAGATTTCTTCATTTTCTCAACTTTTTTTAAGAATTTTTTTTGCCCATTTAATCTATTTAATAATTTTTTACGATCATATTTACTAATTCTCATAAATTGTCCTTTCTCTGGTTCTGATACTTTAAGAGATGGATCTATTTCTCTTCTTGCAAGTTGTCTGACCAACATTTGATATTTTAAATCTCCTGGTGCATCAACATACTCTAAAATAGCCATTTCTGCTTTGTCACCAGGACGAAATCCTAATTTGTGAACACGGGTATAACCACCCTCACGTTCCTTATAACGCTTGGCTAGCTCTTTGAAGAGTTTAGGAACTACAATATTATTTGGATCCTAATGTATATAAGGAAATATAAAAATCATTTAATAAAAATGGTGATTGTTTAATCAATTGAAAATTTAAAAGTTCAATCATTTCTTTAAAAAATCATGCCTACCCGAAGTAAAGCTTTTGCTTGTGTTCTGGCATGATGATTACCTATTTTAGCCCACTTGACCACCTGTTTTATTTCAAGACAAGTGTCAAAAAAGGTAAGTTTTTTATTTTTTGAAAATGATACTTGTAAATGTTTTTAATTGAAAATCATAAATTTCAAACTACTTTTTAACCTTATCTGCAAGTCTTTGTGCTGCTTTTGCTTTTGGATGTGTAGTCCTTATTCGATCATATTCAATCAAAGATGCAACTAAATTTCTAAGCAAAGACCAACGATGACTTGTTTTAAGTCCAAGTTTTGCATGATACATTTTGGAATTGTAAGATTCAAATTAAAAGATGATCAATTTTTATTGGTGCATGTACATAAAAAAATTTAATACGAAAAATTTTCATTGTTTTGAAATATGATCTTTAATCATAATAGCAAACATCATATAGATTGAAAATCATTATCATTATATTCTTCCAATCCAACTAAACCACACTTCTTCGTTTTTCCTTTAATTTCAGGCACAAGTAAGTAATCTTGTTAAATAGAAAGCAACCAACAAATAGATTAAAAAATACAAAAAAAATTACTGCCTAAAGTTTCTCTAACAATCAAAAAAGGTAAAAACCCAACAAAAATTTGCTATCTAATTCAATGATAATCTAAAACTTGAAACTGTTGCTACTGGAGAAGTATCCACAACTTTATGTTCATTTATTAGATTATCATTGAAAATAGGAATGATTCATCAGTTAGTACCTTGATGAGTTTAGAATCGGAAGATGATTATTTAATAATGTTGATTTGAAAAAAATTTCTTGTTATTTAACTTCAGTTACCATTTACCAATATTTTTAAAGTTTTACATTTTCTAATTAATTGCATTTTTCCCAAAATTTATCAATCATTGTTTTGATTTTTCTTCCTTCTCATGTTATTGCATATATTCTTTCATCATATATGTAAATAGTAACAAGAATAATAAATTTGGTGATAACATTGGCAAGGTTTACACAAAAATTTAATTTTTTGTTAAACTTTTTTAATAATCAAAATCTCCACATACTACTTATAAAAATTTTCAAGAAACATTCTAGGCCCTTTAATGTTTTTATAATATTCTATGAGATTTACTTTATAAAAATATTGTTTGTTGATGACAATTTTTGCAACGTCAATTATAAAAATTCTGGATTTTATCCCTTAAATGGTTAATTGGTTGATAAAATTTTTCTGATATAAAAATTCTCTCTAAGCATATCACTTCCTAATATGAAAATGATCTCCGAGATATAGCCGATCAGTCTTAGTCTGTAAAAAAAAATTCGGATGTTGTCCTTGTGGTTTTTGTATAGCTCTTTAAAAGTTGGTCGAATGACTATTTTTTATGTTGCTATCATTAAATTGACCAATAAGAATACAATATCGTGATTTTGTGTTACCATCAAAGAATACTTAATATTAATTCATTCAATAATACTTGTCACATCCAACACCAACTAAAATTTTTCCAAAACCGATTCACCATAGTTTTTTTGCAAATTCATTATTGTAGGTCCAATTGTTGAAATACACAGTTTGCTAATAAAACCCATCTTCTCTTTTATTATCAGCAATGAATGAAGCCATAAGTGGATCCCAATAAACCTCCTAAATTAAATATAAAAATAGCTAAAGATATTATGTTGGTATCATGAGTATGCAACTTGGTAAAGAGTAGTTATTAATAGAAGTTGGTGAATTCAGCCAATATATTATCAACTTTGGTCAAGGATAATGATGGGGAAATTGCTGGTAATATGTAATTACCATATCAGCCGATTTGTTTTTTGGGACCTTCTTTCAAACCCTACACACATGTAAACTCGATAGGTCGGTCATTTATTTATTTTAAACAATTGATTGTTGCATTCGGCTTATATGTATATCTTATTGTATGTGTATAACTGGTCAGTAGAATGATGATTAACCCTAAAAAAATTTATTTGCTCCGCCAAAAAAAAACTATTTTATTATTTCGTCAAACCAATGGCACCACCTCAAAACTAATGGATTATTGCTAGTATAGGGTATTCATAACGTTATGATCATACCATACTGAATTTTGAGTTCAATCAAAATCGATACATATGCTCAAAGTACACTTTTTGAGAACCTAGAGTTTTAATTTTATTAATTGTGTTATACATGGCATTTAATATAGCAATTCAATATGTATTTACCATGGTGATTATTCTTAATTC